TCATTAGTCTTGCTTTTGTCGAAGATGAACCGGGTTACCAAAGTCACGATCAGCAAGGTTGAAATCCCATCTGGAAAGCGCTGGTTCAAGCCCAGCTCGTGACAAGCGAGGGATGCTCGCTAGCAGAAAAAGGGGATTGAAGGCTAAGGTGTCAACTGAGGAAAGATTTTTCGTTTCGAGTGGGACAACCTCTCCGTGGGTAACCGAATGGCTCGTAAACTAAATGCTTGGAAGGGCCTCTTTTTTCTTTCCTGAAGGGAGTTCACGATCTCTCGCCCTGACATAAATTGGTAGCCTAAAAAAGTGGCTTCATTTTCAGTTGTCACTTTCTTGCCTTTACCCATGTCTTTTGAGAAGATAGAAGCTCCTGAGCTTATGCAGACTTCGCATTCTCGTTGCCACTATTGCATGGCCATGCAATTGACTCGCGATCGGGAATCCTTGGGTGGTGATTCCCTGAAACGATGCCAATATGAGTATCAGTTGGCATAGGCATCTTCCTCACGACAACTCCCAGGGATGTTGGAAAAGGAAATGTAGCTGCCAGAGCGGACCTTTTTGGTCCCCAACCAAGAAGTCTTCCCTCTGAAGCAATTGTTCCACTGCACTGGAAGGGTGTGCGACATGAACTTGGGTGACATAAAAAACCCGCTTTGCTTTTTGAATGGATTGGTGGATCTTTGGACCATAGTGAAAACCATCCAATGCCACATTGAAAGCCCCCCTTTCCCTCTTCCGAGAATGCTGCCTCGGCCATAGGCGCTGTATCAGAAACAACTGCAGGTTTCGACACTCCCACGCTTGCCTCTGGAGTGATTGTTCTCTTCTTTCTTGCTGATGATGATGGTGGGACAGTTGCTTGAAAATAGTCTTTTTAGAACCTAATATTTTTTTGAATGGCAATTACCAAGGTTTTATGCAGGTCTCCTTGAGTAGCCTACCTTTACTCTGGAATTGAAGTAGCGAAATCGGCCTTCTTTACCTTTCCTATTTCATATCCGATCGTTCTAGTTAAGGTAAAAGCAGGAACATCGAAGGTTTGAAATCCTTTCAAGTCGAATTTTGATCTACTTCTCACTTAGAAGGAGAGGGTGTTAAGCTCGAGCAAAGCGAGAGGAAAAATACGGATCTTGACTTTCAGTAAAGATCCTGGAATGAGACTTGACTTTTCAACTTCCTTAACTTTCAAAGTC